AGAGAGAGAGAATCGAAGAAGTAAATGAAATGAATACCAAAGAAAAAACGTAAAAACTTCAGAGAAAATCCCTTCTTTGAAAAGTCATTTTCTTTTGCAATCGCCTTCAGAGGAATATCATTTCAATGCGACGTTCATTGTGACTCATGCCGTCCTGAACTTTCACATCAAGATATTAATATGAATAAAGAATAGAAACAAACACAAGAACAAATGCAGTGCTAACATAAAAGATACTAAAGCTTCACTGGAACATTGTTTTAGCTTAACTCTTGAAATATTTTTCATGTTGATATATGTATATATATATATATATATATATATATATATATATATATATATATATATATATATATATATATATATATATATATATATATATATATATATATATTTATATTTATATATATGTATATATACACATTTATATGTATACATAAATATATATGTATATATATCTATACATATATGTCTGTATAGATATACATGTGTGTATACAAACACATGTATATAAAAGTGTGCGTGCTTGTGCGTACGCGTGTATATATATGTATGTGTGTGTGTGTGTGTGTGTGTGTGTGTGTGTGTGTGTGTGTGTGTGTGTGTGTGTGTGTGTGTGTGTGTGTGTGTGTGGATGTGTGTATATATATACGTATGTACGAGTATATATATGTATATAGATGTTTATATATACACCATTATATGTAGACTGACACACAATAATGTATATGTGTATGTATGAATTGTATGTGTATGTGTGTAAATGTACATGTTATATTTTATGTTTATGTATATCTATACATATGTATGTATATACACATACATATATATAGATACATATGCATATACATATACATTTACACACACACACACACACTTATATATACATATATACATACATATATGCTATATATATGTAAATCTATATATATACATATACATATAATGCAACTGCTAGTTATGTAGAGACTATCTTGCAAAGACTAGCTGCTTAGCACTCTCCTGGGACACATCAATGCAACTTTTACAATTGCTTTACTTTGTCACTTACTACAAAACTCATCAGTACTTACATACATGTGGATATCACAGAATACAAGATTGTTATATATTCATAACAAAGGCAATGCCCTTATACACATGCCTGAAAAGCCTAAATAGTTTGATTATAAGTAGTTTTGTAACCGAAAGTAGTTTTGCACAATATATTCACCCTACAATATACATATGTAACAATGTGTTATACTACACTTATTGGGGTAAAACGGTAGACTGATAGATAAATAGATACTTATATGCATATTTCCATTAAATACTTGTGCGTCGCAAAAAGATTTAGCCCTTGGCAATTACCGGTATGAAGGTATCTTTCACACTCTATTGTAGTTTCCCGATTTCTGTCTTCATAACATCTGTTGTCGCTCGATTCATAACCTCAACACTGGTGGTCATCATTCGGTGCACAAGACATACGCAATCCTATGCATTAACATTTTACACACTGAACAAACCTTAACAAACATGTCTGCATATTTGGTAACTTTTCTACGTTGTGTTACGAAAATCACCACAATAACTATTTGGTACTACAACCATCATTATGTCACACTAATTATGCTAACAACCAGGCTATTCCACTATCACAGTTACATTTGCTAATCACAGTCCCAAACCAACAACTTTTAAAAAGGACACTTTCATAATTATCTTATCAAACGCGTCTCATATTACCCTTTCACACTGTGGGTTCCTGCCTTAATACTACAAGCCACCATTTCGTTCAGTTCTATCCTACAGTGCGTTCTTAAAGCTGTGTTAGTCGAGGAGATGTAGGTCGAGTTCTTCTACAGAATCTTCGCTTCTGTCGCATCGCATAGAACATTCTGTCGACGCGATACCTCAGTCTCCTTTGGTCTGTCTGCATAGCCACTACGGAACATTGCCAACTCCGCTGCATCAAAGGTCTTATTACTTGTACTTTTGACACTAACTCCACACAAGAAGGGGCGAAGAGGAAGTGAAGAGGCCTTGGCTAGCGGACTCAAGATGATAAATGATACACTTCTAACCTTGATGCTGAAATATTAACACAGTGACCCAGAATGTGAATACCGCGTGTCATATACTCGGTGCCGGGTGACGGAACACTTCTACTCGTGTCTCTTCTTATAAATATTCTTCTTTTTTCTTTCTTACGTTTTGCATAGATGACGTCTAGACTGACGTATGATGACAACATACCGTATCAGCTGCGTGGCCACTACCTGAAGAAACTATGTTACGCAACCACACGGGTGAATCGAATTTGTAAAAATCGTACTCTCTACATTGTGGGATTTCGAAAGGTTGTGGACAGCAAACGCGCGGGTTGCTTATTCACACTACTTTGGTAATCTGAATTGAGTAAAAAGTTTAAAATTACTTATCAGTTATGGCGTCGATGTGAGAACAGATTTCAATAACATCCAAGTGGATTTCTTTTAAAAGGAAGTGCCATGGGAGACTACCACTTCAACAATGTCGGGATATAGCCTCTATAAAAAAAAGCTAGGAGCCAAGGGTAAAGCCGTATCAGAAGCTCTTTGTAAAATGGTTGACAGCGGCTAACATTAGACGGGGTGTACAATCGGCTCCGTTTAAGAGAACGTGAGAGAACAATAGACCAGGTAAATGGACTGCACGGTGTACACACGACTGAGAAGCGAACGTGACGTAACTCATCTTTTGTGATCTCCTTGTACAAACGACTTGGCCTTCAGGTGTGTATGCTTGTCTCACGTACTGCGTTTAATTAAGTAGATCTAACCAAATGATTTTGCACGGTCGTATAATATTTATTTAAGTCGAGTTTGCTGTTACCAAAAAATAAAATAAAAATAATACTAAACAAAAACATAAAAAGCGAGAGATTATTTTTTTAGACACCTCGTTCAGGTCCAGAAAACTGTGTCAAGACGAAGCCCATCTGTGCAAAGGCTGTGGGAAGTTTCGTGGCTGCCTCTCGCCCAAGCAGACTCCATCGCTCTTTTCGCCGTGTGTGTGACCGCAGCATCTCACCGCCGACTGGCCCAGAAATTAATAACACAACGGACGAAAGAGAGAGAGAGAGAGAGAGAGAGAGAGAGAGAGAGAGAGAGAGAGAGAGAGAGAGAGAGAGAGAGAGAAAAGTATAATAATACCAACAAACAATTCCCAGGATATAGACCTCACAACCTCATGACAACCACTTCGACGCAGCCCCATGACAAGCTAGCCTGGTAATACTGCGCTGTGAATTTTAATAAACATAAAATACAGGCGTGACTGGCACTTCAAATACACAGTGGAGTGCTTGGGGAGGGAGCAACAGCAGCAGCAGCCCGCTCAATTATGAACAAACATAACAATAACACAAGAAGATGAGGAAGATGTCTGTGGTTGCGGAAAGACATTTATGAACCGCCTGCAAACGCCATCTATTTGTAATAAGGTCAGTAACACTACGGAGGACGAGGCGGCGTTACTCTGCATGCTTTTGTTTAATTATTGTTCGGTATAACCCCTGTGCCGTCACTGTGTAAAGGGTAGTGGACCTGAAGTCATAAATGAATACCTCACGTTCAGGACTCGTATCTCTCGTTTTGCCCTTCCTCTTCTCTCTCTCTTTCTCTCTCCCTCCCCTTCTCTCTCTCTCTCTCTCTCTCTCTCTCTCTCTCTCTCTCTCTCTCTCTCTCTCTCTCTCTCTCTCTCTCTCTCTCTCTCTCTCTTTCTTCTCTCTCTCTCTCTCTCTCACACACACACACACGCACACACACACACGCACTTCCTCTCCCTCTTCCTCCTCTCTCTCTCTCTCTCTCACACACACACACACACACACACACACACACACACACACACACACACACACACACACACACACATACACACACTTCCCTCACCCACGAGGACCAGCGAGGGAAATAGCCAATTAGGCATCTTCCTTGGGGTCGTGGGGTGCAGGGGGGGAGGGTTAATCCGAGGCAAGGAGACAGGTCTGGGTCACAGGTCGCCAAGGGGTCACGTGGGGTTGGGGGGGTAGGGGGGGATGGGAGGTTACGAGAAGGAGGCAAGGGGCATAAGGGAGTAGAGAGAAGGGGGGTAGGGGGGGAGGGGAGTTAAGGAGGAGAGCCCAGACGGATAATTGTGGGAACTGTCGGGCGGAAGAGGAGAGGTTTGGGTGTGGGTGAGGGCGTGGGAGTGGGAGGGAGGGAGGGAGGGCGGACTCACGAAAAAATGAGAATCGTAGTACGTGAGAGTAGAACATTTGAACAAAGGATAGTTGATTACATGTAAACATCAAAGACAGAATAATAATAATAATAATAATAATACAACTCCTTCAAAATACACTTAAAAATGTAGGACCAATTAATACTGTCAATATCATTCTATCTACCGGCATATCAGATACGGTAAATTTACAAAATGGTTTATGGTAGAGCAAATACATAATACATCAAAACATTTCCTCTCAGTTTACAAACGAAAGCAACACACAAGTAGCGACTGAAAAAAAAATCAACAACTCTATATGCATACATTTATAACCAGCTTTATATTCCAGTAATCTATATTTCTGTGTTTCTTTAAGAATCGATATAAAAGAGACAAAGTCCGATGCATGCCACAAAGTTGACTGATATATTCTCGTTATGCCACATAAAGCTATCATTTGAGAAACAGAGTTCGTTAAAGCTTATACCCGAAAAAATAGAAAAAAAGTGATTTGGATATGTATGACATTCCCTGTCAACTTTGTGAAGATCCGCTCATATGCAGACTGACACAGAAAGAGATAGGGATATATATATATATATATATATATATATATATATATATATATAGATAGATAGATAGATAGATAGATAGTGTAAGAGACAGAAAAGAAGAGGGGGAAGCAAAAGTGAGAGAGAAAGAAAGAAGTAAAAGAGAAAGAGGAAGGAAAAGAGAGAGAGAGGAAGAGAAGAGAAGGAGAGAGAGAGAGAGAGATCCGACGTGATCCTCGCTTTCGCGCCTCTCGGGGGCAGCACTGTGATCCCCCTCGCCCGCCCGCCCGCCATCCGTCGCCAGAGCAGCAGGACCGTCGGCGCGAAGAACCTGCTCCTCCGTCATAAAGTTTTCGGCCCTACAATTAGCGGACCGCAGGTGGAAGCGTCTGGGAGGTGATGTACAGCTGGTGTGTCCTCAAACGACGATTCTGCTCGCGTAGCTCCGTTCTAGCACCGATTTTGGGATTTTGAACAAGGCACGCTGAGTTGTGGTAGTACGGCTGATAAATCGATGAACCCGAGAAGTGGTTACTCGTCGGCTTATTTCGTCGGAGAGGCTCTGACACAGGCTCCTCACGACTTTATTGATGCGTGTATTGTTGACTTCATACGATGGAATGCGTGTTCTAAGAACATACTTCACAAAATTGTTTGATATCAGAACTAATCAAGTCAGTTTATTTCATAAAATTTAATTTAGAATTGTTCTTGTAGTAGAAGACAGTCCAAAGATTAGATGATCGCTGCCCGTATTATCAGGAGCAGTCTATCCTCGTACTTACAAACAACTATTTATCCACAGTTGCAAGTAGCCCCAGACTATAAACCTTGCCAGGCTATACGCACAGAGAGTCTGCTTGTGTTGTGGGTACGACTAGGTTAAAAATACTTAATAAAGGCGTTTTCACTAAGCACAGGTTGTTCTGTTACTGTGCGAGCGAAGCAACTGCATTTCAATATAAGAGGTACCATGGGAAAAAAAAAACATTACGACCCACAAATGTTCTTGATTCATGCACGGAGGCAAGCGGTGTGGGACCTCGGGAAGAACAATGTCCTAAAGCGGATATAACATCATGAACCTGTCACTCAAGCTCTGCACAGGGCGCCTCAGAAACCGCCATGGATGGGCGCCGCGGTGCTCGCCCACAGTACCTTTCCCACGATTACTACGGAGCCACGGGTTGCATAACAGCTGCTATACGGTGGTTAACCTTGAGCCGTTAGTGCTTCTGGCGCGATGTTAAGAAATCTCATCTTTTAAGAGAGATGGTCTCGCTTGACATCTCTGCCAGGGGACGTCTTCTCCAGCGCGGAAATCGAAACGAGATAACGGAGGCGAGAGTGCCAGGAGGGAGCCCTGGGGAACGCCGGAGCCCCGAAGGACAGCGGCCTTGGTACTGCCATTATCCCTGAGTGTTGATGAACCACTGGTGGTGTGGTTTGCGCGCTGCTGTCCAGCTGGAATCGCTGGGAAGTGGTGCAGTCACAGTTGCTGAGTTCTGGATGTCCTATTTTGCCTGCTGAGGACCTGGCTATCAGGAGCGAGACAGGATACAATTGCACTGCAAGACTACCGTGGTTTCATCGATGCACTCACCATGGCGGCACTTGCATTCTGGCAGGAAGTTGCAATATGCAAGATCATGCGATTTTTTGCCCATGAGAAGCAGCCACAGGGTCAAGCCGCCGCACTGACATGCGCTGTATCGTGATCTCACTTTCTTGAGTTGCCTTCGGCTGCCTGCGCCCGCTGGGAGTCCTGACCCGCAAGGGCGTCGGCGAAAGACCTTCCCTTGCTATCCCGAGCGAGGGTCCCCGACCTGCGCACATACCGCCTCGAGTCTACCGTGGTCTGCTCTGCCGGGACTTGAGGACGAGCTGGTGCAGGGTGGCCATAGCCTCGTCCAGGCCTTCGCCGGTGACCGCGCAGGCCGGCGCCACCGCCCACGGCTGCGAGTCGGGCAGCTCGGGCAGCCCCATCGCCTTGGCCAGGTGCTGCGGCTCCCGCGCCCCCGGCAGGTCCTGCTTGTTGGCGAGCACGAGCAGCGGCGGGCGAGGCCGGTTCAGCGCCACGCACTGCGCCGTCTGCTGCTTGGTGAGGCGCTGCAGCTCCACCCGCGTCTCCTCCAGCCGCTCCTCGCTCGTGCTGGAGTCCACCACGAAGATGAGGGCGTCGGTGGCCCGGGTGTACGAGCGCCACAGCGGGCGCACTCGCTCCGCGCCGCCCACGTCCCAGATGAGCCAGTTGGCGCCGCCCGCCCGCACCTTCTCCGTGTTGAAGCCCACAGTGGGCACGGCGTTCACGTACTGTCCGTAGCGCAGTCGGAACAACGCCGTGGTCTTGCCCGACGAGTCGAGGCCCACCAGCACCACGTGCGCCGGGGGCCGCACCAGCGCCGCCGCCTCCCACAGCAGGTACTGGGCCGCCTCCACCAGCCCCGCCCACAGGCAGGAACACATCTTCACACCCGCGCCATAACACGGACACGACACGCGCTGTTCATGACCAGGGGCTGCTGCTTGGTCGGGGATCAGGTCATGACGGCCGCGTCATGAGACCGAAGCTCTGTCGAGGCTCACGTTCCATTTAATGCACCTTCACTGACTCATCACCGACCCCACGTCAATAATATTCACGATATCTTGTAAAATAACGTGGTCACAATTATTTAAAAGAATATCAGATTTGTTTCTATCAAAATGCACCGATAAGCCACTCAATTTAATCACGTGAACACATTTTCTGTGATCTATATTTCTGTAGTAACAATTACATTGTTCTGTAACAAGTAACTGGGCCGGAGGAAGCTGCAGCTACAGGTCTTCACTCGTTAAC